TGATTCAACCCATAATTTTATATATCAAGAGATAGCTCTCTGTGAGCGAAGTACGATGTCGTTGTCAAACTATTGAACTTTTTATTACAATTCCGACTGTGCAATCCTGCCCCTAGTAATGATAAAGGTTTCATTATGGAGGGAAGGCACCGTTAGAGATATTCAGCTAGATACCTTCCTGACTTGGTGTACGCAGATATTGAAGTCCTGGTGAGCAGTACTGGATGTGATCTTTACCACCTGACGACTTCCGTATGCAACACAGCTGTGATAACCGGTCTCTTCTTTTACGTCCGGAAGTCAAAGTCATGAGGAACTCTATCGGCACAGCGGAGCTACAAGTGAAACTGGGTGATGAAACCCTTCATGAGGTTTGCCAATTTTGGTATCTTGGTTGTATCATCTCCAGCGATGGCACTGCCCAGCCAGAGTTAGATAGGAGGATCGCTTTAGCTTAGAGTCATTTTGGAAACTTGCTTAATACTTGAATTATTCCTTTTAACGAAAATCAGCCCGTATTTTGCCTGTCAGGTTAATTTTGTCGTAGGCTTGGAAACAACTGCTCTAACGATAACTCCAGAACAACGATTTATCTGCGTACAATAGCGTTGGCTTCGACTCATGACGATGGTTAAACGGCAGGACCATGCATCGAATGACCATATCCCATTGCGAGCACAGGTGTGCGTTGTAGTTGAGTGCAGTAAGTAAAGGAGGTTGGCCCTCTTAGGGGAACTGGTTAGACGTGAACCATTTACTGCAGCTCGTCAGCCTCTCGTGTAGGAATCAAAACACGACAGAGGTCAACCAGGAGGCCAGCGTACAACACAGAGAAGCAAGATAGAGGCAGATCTGCTTTCGGAGAGAAATATTTCTTTCTGAAATACGGTAAGTGGTGCTCTATAGCAACATTGTTGAGAAGCTGCAGATACAGCGGACATCACAAAGCAGGTACGTTCTTCTTATGACTCAAGGTAACTATCTCAGTAAACGACATAGAAAACATTCATGAGGGTAGATAAACAAAATCTTATAAATCACGAATAAATGCTGTAATATAGCAATATTAGATAAACAGTTACTTTCCAGCTTTAAAAACTGCTTTTGGCGATAGGCCATGAGTTGTCAGGATTTCGAGTTTCTCAGTTTTCGATTTGAGCTCAGTGGTGTCATCAGGTTGAAACCATAGAATGCAACGTTCAGGGTTCACATAGGACTTGTGCCGTTTTCACCTCGGAAGAGGTGAAATTCTTTATTTGTTGATTCGTTGTTCGGTAAACGGTTCTCAGTGAGCTTCTGACGTAAGCAATGAGAGGGGGAAAAGAATATTACCTCCCTTATGGATGCGTATTGTCTATCGCGACATTAGTTGCA